GAGGGTTCTTTATTGTGGCCAACGCCTACCAAGCCTCGGTTTTTAAGGTTTTATCCGAAGGACCCGTACCTTTCTCTTCAAAGTGCCGAGCGCTTGTTCGAAGGAACGGTTACTACCTTCTTTTTATCGACTTTAGCCAGTCGCAGCCATGATTCACAAAACCTTCCGCTCACGGTTCGAGCGCTCTACCGACTGAGCTAATATATATATATATATATATATATATATATATATATATATATATATATATATATATATATATATATATATATATATATATATATATATATATATATATATACCAGACCAGAAATTCAATTTTAAGTATATAAAATATTTAATATATTTCAATGGTATTTTAACCTTACTTTCAATTTAATTTCAGCATATATCGGAGGTTCGTTAAGTATATCAGGTATGAAATCATTTTTCAAATATTTACTAAAATAATGCCCAATCTTGAGACCATTTTGATCGTTTTCTATTACTTACATCTATATTACTTTTATGTTTTTATTATATTATTTAAATATTATTATTATTATTCAATATTCAATATAACCCCCCCAAAAAACAATCAATTATTTTTAGATGTCTGCAAGCTCTTAAACAAGAACATCATTGTAATTTGTATTGGCAATATAAAAAAAGAAAACCAAAAATTAATTGCTTGTCAAAAGACATGACTTTGATTACAAATTTTTTGTTGTGAAAAGCTCATTCTATTAATTTTTTGAAACATAAGGGGGGTATTTCTTTAACTTTTTGAGAGGGGAAAAACATTTTAAGTCAAGAGCTTAGTTTATTTTTAAAATAAATAAATAGGAGACATTTCTGTAATATAATTCAAGTTCCCGAAAAAGTCCACTTATCCTTTTATCAAGAGACACGTCCTTGATTTGGCTGAAAACAAACTTTTGAGCCATAGATGTTTTTGATTTGAAATACATTCATGTAACATGTTTTTAAAGCACAAACCTTTTCCTCTTGAAAATGAGACATATCAATTTTTTTTACCATTCATTAGATTTTCCTTCTCAAGAGGAGCATCCCTAACAAAAATTTACTAGGTCTATAATTAACTATAGTAAAAACTTTTATACTTTGATTTACTCTTAAACTTTACTCATGGAATTATTTTGTTGAGATTTCGTAACATTTGGAAATAATATTTGAATATACAAGTAATACTTCCATTTAATATACAAAAAATGTGGACGTATGATTTTGAAAATATAAAATAGAACAATCTGAAATCCATAGTAAAAATACTTTGATTTACTGTAGTAAAAAATTGCTTAACTATAGAAAAACTTTGCTACTATTGTAAAAAAAAAATCGATAACTATAGTAAACTATAATTTACTATAGTTTTTTTTTTGTAAGGGATGTGAACATAGGAAATCAAAGAGACATAAGATTGATAATTTTAAATTCTATCTAAATCAATTTAAAAAAAAGTGGTGCTAGTCAGTAAGGAAAAACTTATTTGACAACGAATCAGAAATATCTTTGTCAAGATAACGTTCTTTCTTCTATAAATGTATTCAAAAACTGATTTTTTTTTTATTGTGTTCAACATTATTACAATGGCTCAAGAAAGCTGTAGCGCACGGTCTTAATAATAATCAAAAAAATATCAAAACCTTTTTTAATGAAACTGGAAAAGACTTAATTAAAATAAAAAATAAACCCAGGAAATTATTTTCTATTTTCTCTTAGAATATTTGGGATGCTTTCAAGACCAGCCCAAACGAACCTTAGCCGGAAAGTTTACAACGACGACATCCATGACCATTGAAACCTGCAAGAATATTTGTACGAAGGAAAACAACCAGTTCTACGGTGTACAGGTTCAGCAATCTATTACAGAGAGATAGTTTCTGAACTGATTTCTTAAGAAAAGCAATGAATATGACCTCAACATTTTTTTTTCTTATTTCTTTGAAGTATTCCCATCAGTGTTTCTGTGGAGATTCTCTTACAACAAATATTCCCAGGTCAGAGAAGGAATGCAACATGGCATGCAGTGGAAATAAGCAACAAATGTGTGGTGGAATTTATAGAATGAACATCTATAGGAATCCAAACTACAAAAAAGATCAAGAAAAACCGTGTATGTAATCTTATTCAGGTTTCAGACAAGTCTGCATGTCCTAGTATCCAATGATATATGCTTGATTGGGCTGAAAAACAGAAAATTATTCGAGAAACCAATCTTTTTTTCCTTTATTTACTCTGGACAAACTGTCTCCTTTGTTGAGCTGAAACATTCATTTGACTACATATTGAAATTGGAAAACTCCTTTCTTGCAATGGCAACATCTAATTTCTTACCATTCATTAGATTTTCTTATTAAAGAGCAGCAAAGAACGAATAAAGTCAGTGCAGATATATTTCAATCCTTATATCAAATCATACAAGATTACAGTTGCTTAAGTCAGTAGAAGAACACTGTTGTAACAATCACAACAAGTTTCACAGTTTTCTTAGATGTCGGGAAGTAGTTTTGCTTATTAAGTCTCGATGCCAGTTATCTTCTATTGCCCCAAAGAGGATCAACTTTTAACATAATTAGAAATTTGATTATATGCTTTAATTTGATGTCATTGACTTCAAAACTTTACTATCGTCTTTTGAAAGCATCACTTTAAAACTGAACTAAAACTGGATGTTAATTTTATACAATTCTAAAGGAATTACTCTCTTTTTCCCTTTCAGTATATTTGGGGTGCTTTCAAGACCAGCCCAACGAACCTTAGCCGGAAAGTTTACAATGACGACATCCATGACCATTGAAACCTGCAAGAATATTTGTACAAAGGAAAACAACCAGTTCTACGGTGTCCAGGTTCAGCAATCTATTACAGAGAGATAGTTTCTGTACTGATTTCTTACGAAAATCATAGAATATAACCTCTACATTTTTATCTTATTTCTTTAAAGTATTCCCATCAGTGTTTCTGTGGAGATTCTCTTACAACAAATATTCCCAGATCAGAGAAGGAATGTAACATGGCATGCAGTGGAAATAAGCAACAAATGTGTGGTGGAATTTATAGAATGAACATCTATAGGAATCCAAACTACAAAAAAGATCAAGAACAACCATGTATGTAATCTTATTCAGGTTTCAGACAAGTCTACATGTCCTAGTATCCAAAGATATGTGATTAATTTGGCTGAAAGCAAACAATTATTCGAGAAACCAATCTTTTTTTTCTTTTATTTACTCTGGACAAACGGTCTCCTTTGTTGAGCTGGAACATTCATTTGACTACATATTGAAAATGGATAACTACTTTCTTGCATTGGCAACATCTTATTTCTTACCATTCATTAGATTTTCTTATTAAAGAACAGCAAAGAACGAATAAAGTCAGTGCACAAAAACTTCAATACTTATATCAAATCATACAAGATTACAGTTGCTTAAGGTAGTCCGATCCTCAGGTTCTGAAAATCAGCTTGTCAGTGATTGAAATGCTCACAAAAATGTTCTAGATTTCACAGAGTAACGTGTATTTATCCATGGTATATCTTCAATGTTAATCAGTAAAGTTAATAATATTATATAGGGAAAATTATCAAATCTCAAATGTATTTTCAGTAAATGAGATTAAAGCACCAGCTATGGATATTCCTATTCAAAATTGATCAAAAAATATATTTTAAGATTCAGAACTATAGGTATACAGGCATTTTGAGAAAATAAATTGCATATGTTGCACACTTATACAGTATTTTAGTTCTTCTATTTACTTCAGTTGTTATATACCAAATAATGTAAAAAGCTTATGCTATCATTGCAAGACATCGTAATCACTTGTTATTCCATATCATGCTAATAAGCATTGGTATACAATGCCTGATTAAAGGAAATTCGATTTCTCAAAAAATGAATTTATTTTTGTACTTTTGTGGGATACACATATCAATTTTTGTCGCCCGCGTGGCGCAGTGGTTAGAGCGTCTGCTCTAGAGTCGCGGAGTAAGGAGTTGATCCTTACGTCGCGGGTTCGAATCCCACTGTGGGACGTGGAGACCGGTCCTTCGGATGAGACCGTATAAACCGAGGTCCCGTGTCGCAGTAGGTGCTGGCACGAAAAAGATTCCTCAATGCTCAATGGCCGTAAGTGCCGAGTATAGAACAAAATTTGCAGCTCTTCACCGGCAAGTGGTGACGTCTCCATATGAGTGAAAAATTCTCGAGAGGGACGTTAAACAATATACAAACAAAAAACATATCAACTTTTTACAATACCGTTTCTAAGACTTCAAAGAACCTTGAATCATATTGTGATGCATAAAATGAAAATTGTTGCAAGAAAATATTTCAATTTCAAGCTTAATTGGAGACTATTTAAATTAGATATTAGATTTTAGAGTTATCGTTCGTAGCTGAGGATCGGATATCCTTAAGTCATCAGAAGAACACTGTTGTAACAATCGAAACAAGTTTCACAGTTTTCTTGGATGTCGGGAAGTAGTTTTGCTTATTAAGTTTCGATGCCAGTTATCTTCCATTGCCCCAAAGAGGATCAACTTTTAACATAATTAGAAATTTGATTATATGCTATATTTCGATGTCATTCACTTCAAAACTTTACTATCGTCTTTTGAAAGCATCACTTTAAAACTGAACCAAAACTAGATGTTAATTTTATACAATTCTAAAGGAATTACTCTCTTTTCCCTTTCAGTATATTTGGGGTGCTTTCAAGAACAGCCTAAACGAACCTTAGCCGGAAAGTTTACAATGACGACATCCATGACCATTGAAACCTGCAAGAATATTTGTACGAAGGAAAACAACCAGTTCTACGGTGTCCAGGTTCAGCAATCTATTACAGAGAGATAGTTTCTGTACTGATTTCATAAGACAAGCAATGAATATGACCTCTACATTTTTTTTCTTATTTCTTTGAAGTATTCCCATCAGTGTTTCTGTGGAGATTCACTTACAACAAATATTCCCAGATCAGAGAAGGATTGCAACATGAAGTGCAGTGGAAATAAGCAACAAATGTGTGGTGGAATTTATAGAATGAACATCTATAGGAATCCAAACTACAAAAAAGATCAAGAACAACCATGTATGTAATCTTATTCAGGTTTCAGACAAGTCTACATGTCCTAGTATCCAATGATTTATGCTTGGTTTGGTTGGAAAACAGAAAATTATTCGAGAAACCAATCTTTTTTTCTTTTATTTACCCTGGACAAACGGTCTCCTTCGTTGAGCTGAAACATTCATTTGACTACATATTGAAAATGGAAAACTCCTTTCTTGCAATGGCAACATCTAATTTCTTACCATTCATTAGATTTTCTTATTAAAGAACAGCAAAGAACGAATAAAGTCGGTGCAGATATATTTCAATACTTATATCGAATCATACAAGATTACAGTTGCTTAAGTCAGAAGAAAAACACTGTTGTAACAATCGAAACAATTTTCACAGTTTTCTTAGATGTCGGGAAGTAGTTTTGCTTATTAAGTCTTGATGCCAGTTATATTCTATTGCCCCAAAGAGGATCAACTTTTGATATAATTAGAAATTTGATTATATGCTTTATTTCGATGTCTTTGACTTCAAATCTTTACTATTTTCTTTTGAAAACATCACTTTAAAACTGAACTAAAACTGGATGTTAATTTTATACAATTCTAAAGGAATTACTCTCTTTTCCCTTTCAGTATATTTGGGGTGCTTTCAAGACCAGCCCAAACGAACCTTAGCCGGAAAGTTTACAATGACGACATCCATGACCATTGAAACCTGCAAGAATATTTGTACAAAGGAAAACAACCAGTTCTACGGTGTCCAGGTTCAGCAATCTATTACAGAGAGATAGCTTCTGTACTGATTTTTTAAGAAAATCATAGAATATGACCTCTACATTTTTATCTTATTTCTTTGAAGTATTCCCATCAATGTTTCTGTGGAGATTCTCTTACAACAACTATTCCCAGATCAGAGAAGGAATGCAACATGAAATGTAGTGGAAATAAGCAACAAATGTGTGGTGGAATTTATAGAATGAACATCTATAGGAATCCAAACTACAAAAAAGATCAAGAACAACCATGTATGTAATCTTATTCAGGTTTCAGACAAGTCTACATGTCCTAGTATCCAATGATTTATGCTTGGTTTGGTTGGAAAACAGAAAATTATTCGAGAAACCAATCTTTTTTTCTTTTATTTTCCCTGGACAAACGGTCTCCTTTGTTGAGCTGAAACATTCATTTGACTACATATTGAAAATGGAAAACTCCTTTCTTGCAATGGCAACATCTAATTTCTTACCATTCATTAGATTTTCTTATTAAAGAACAGCAAAGAACGAATAAAGTCGGTGCAGATATATTTCAATACTTAAATCAAATCATACAAGATTACAGTTGCTTAAGTCAGAAGAAAAACACTGTTGTAACAATCGAAACAATTTTCACAGTTTTCTTAGATGTCGGGAAGTAGTTTTGCTTATTAAGTCTTGATGCCAGTTATATTCTATTGCCCCAAAAAGGATCAACTTTAAATATAATTAGAAATTTGATTATATGCTTTATTTCGATGTCTTTGACTTCAAATCTTTACTATCGTCTTTTGAAAACATCACTTTAAAACTGAACTAAAACTGGATGTTAATTTTATACAATTCTAAAGGAATTACTCTCTTTTCCCTTTCAGTATATTTGGGGTGCTTTCAAGACCAGCCCAAACGAACCTTAGCCGGAAAGTTTACAATGACGACATCCATGACCATTGAAACCTGCAAGAATATTTGTACGAAGGAAAACAACCAGTTCTACGGTGTCCAGGTTCAGCAATCTATTACAGAGAGATAGCTTCTGTACTGATTTTTTAAGAAAATCATAGAATATGACCTCTTATTTTTATCTTATTTCTTTGAAGTATTCCCATCAATGTTTCTGTGGAGATTCTCTTACAACAAATATTCCCAGATCAGAGAAGGAATGCAACATGAAATGTAGTGGAAATAAGCAACAAATTTGTGGTGGAATTTATAGAATGAACATCTATAGGAATCCAAACTACAAAAAAGATCAAGAACAAGAACAATGATGAAGGTAATGTACATTATTGCAATTCATGTTTCATGAGAATAACACGTGTCTAACTTTCCTTAGTACATGTTTCAGACCTTGAACAAAGGGTTTTTGCTGCTACCAAATCACTTGGTACACGCCAAGCCCAAGCTTCATGGTTGGATGACTATGCCATTGTGTACATAATTATTAAACTTATCATTATCAATGATAGGTTACAATCATAGACACAGGGCAAGGTCACTAAACAATGAAAGTTGGACCTGATGTGCTCAACAGTCAATAAAACCTAGATTCAATAAAGGAAAAAATCTCTTTCCTTCCCTTGTCTTTCTTTCTGTATTGACCAACTTTAGGTAAAATTAAAACATTAAATATTTAAATTTTAAAAAATCAAAATCAAAATTAAGACTGAATTTTAAGAAAGGTTTAGTAATTGTTTGAATATGTAGGATATACCCAGAATTACATCTCATCAAAAAGTGCCCCCCAAAAAGTTTACTCACCATCTTGTCTTCGATAATAATTAACAGATTAAGAGGACACAGCAAGAAGTCAAAATCGGATTTTTTACAATGTTCAAACACACAGGGACAGTCTTATATTGCTCAAATAGTGTGTAAACTTTCTCTGTAATTGTTGTAAGCCGAGACAATCCAACCGTATACAGATTTTTTCCTTTTTTCTGTTTTCGTTTTCTGTGGAAATCTGTGCTTTTCAAGAACAATTTATCCATTTTACCTCTAAAAACAAATCTTTACTAATGCCCACAAGACTCCATTAAAAATGACATGAATATCTTCATACAGAGATTTTGAATCTATAGAAATGAATTTTAATGTGTTTGAAAACTACTCACTGTAGACCGTGACCTGACCTGTTGCAGACAGGTAGATATACCCCCTGAGGGTATAATTATCACATCTGGGCCTGTATAAAATGGCAACAGTCAGGATCAAATCATCGTTATCTTGATTAAATAACAAAAAGCACATAAAGATTTGTAATGAAATAGATAGAGACACAAAGGGTTTAATTTCTCATGTGAAACATGTACTAAGTATGTTGTTAAACTTTTCCCTCGCCATTCGATTTGGTCCCTCGCTTCGCTCGGCACCAAATCTCATGATGCTCGGGCAAAGTTTACCAACATATACTTGGACACATGCTTGATTTGCCGATTAATATGTTTTTTTTATTTAATCTTTAGTCCAGGGATCTAGTTATATAAAATACAAGGCTTCTGGCTTGAAACATAAGCGATATTCGGGCGAGGGTAAGAAAACTTGATAGAGGGCGAGGCTTGTCGAGCCCAAATATCGCTTATATTTCAAGACAGTATCCATGTATTTTGTTTATCATGCAATATATTTTTACATCAGACCTCCAAGACGAGCTATTTTCAACCAATTTAGGTACATCTCTGCAGTTGAAACCAAGACTCCACGGCGTAAACATTGCAATGTGTATGACGTCACAATGCTTTTAGAACGTCGGAATACATGTTCGAAACTTTTTATTGGCATTGACCGAATAAAGCTTTGGTTTATTAGGTTACCTTTATTAGGTCAATGCAAGGGGCAGTTGCAGAATAAAAATATTTATTTGCTAGTTTCGGCAATGACTCATTTTCTATTATTTACGATTGAAATTTAGGCTTTGATTGCATTTTGAAACAGTTAGATATATTTAAACCCAAAATTCTTTAAAATATTGAAATATAAATTTACCTATATCTTCTAGCCGTTTTACAATTCAGATCTAGTAAAGATTTTGATTCTCTTTAGATATTTATTTGAATAATATTTCTATATGGGAGATAAATAAACTTTAGAAAAATATTTTTATTTTCACACTTTCATTATAATACAGTTTATAGATAGCTTTAGCCTTTCAATTATAGTTTCATGTCCGTGTCACACTGCAATTCTTCGTGTATTCTTTACATTAAAACAGTACAAAACATTAAACGTATATGACTAGGCAACTCAAATTCACAGATAGATTACATTTATTGAATGAGCACTTTATCGAAAGCAAGTGCAACATATTTCAAACGTTTGTGATTCGACGTGGTTAAGTGACTGTTAATAATGGAAGTATACCTCAATGAGTATATGAAAGAAATAACACTACGTGTACCCCAGAGTTCAGTTTGATATTTTTTTTATTTTATTTATTTGTTTATTGAGTTAACGAAAGATTTATGAGGCATTTAATGTTATTAGCAATATGTTTTGAAAAACTTCATCTTAATATCAAATGTCTTTTCTTTTAGTTGTTAGAACAAATATGCTTGTCTGGGATCGCAGTGGCAATTATCATAAATTCATAACATAAAGTAAATAAGATAAAGTTCGGACAAGATTACTGTAAAATCACATATTTTCGTGGGGTTAATTTTTCGTGGTTTGAGGAATAAATGTTGGTACATGGGGATCGGATTTCGGGGTTGAAGACGGGTTGAGTAGATGTAGATATGAAATTTTACCTTTCGTGGTGGACATGGATACGTGGGTGTATTTATACCTTGAAAACAACGAAAATCAAACCCTCACGAAAATTAATTATTTCACGATACTTTAAATATTGGAGTAAGCCTTAAAAATAACTCGGCAACTAGTTTCAGAAAACACATTATTTTAAGCTTGTTTTTCTACTTGAAGGTTCCGAAAAGAAGTTGGGATAAGTTTGCGAATCATTTCAGTCATCTCCTTTCAGTGACATTGTTTATGGAAGTGATTTGTTGCAAATTAAAGGTATCAATGAAATAATACCTCTCTTTCACGTTTTTAAGGAAAAAATAGTATAATATTCACTTTTAATGTTATGGCTGTGTGATGAAAAGACTTCTAGCTTCTAAAAAAAATATAAACAGAAACACTACAGAGCATACAAACATAACAAGGGACTACCAGATGTAATATTAAAACAGTCTTATATGTAGTAGAATACTACGTCTAATGAGCAGGATACCCACTATCTGAATAATGGGATGATCAATCTGTATGACAAACTTACAGAAATAGATGCATTGTCTATATACTCTTTCACAGATAAAAACATGTCCACCCACCATATAAAATCTGAAACAGCTATTGCACGGTCCTCTGTAGTTGCATAATGCTTTAATTTTTTTATTTGACGTAAATCTTAGTATTTTAATAGGAGATGCTTACTTCTCCTAGGCACCTGATCCCACCTCTGGAATTTCCAGGGGTCTGTGTTTATGGCCACTTCACAGAATTGTATTGTTTATGGATTTTTGAGATCGATCGAAATCACTGTTTGTTATCCTTTTCATTTGACAAAGTGGTCATACACGTATTTACAAAGTATATTTGCTCATCTTGTTTTAATCGCTATACACAAGTGATTTCTGTTATATTCTATTCCAATTACCCTTACCTCCTTTTTGTTTTTGCTAAATTCTCTCCAGCATTATAAGAAATTGAAATATATTTTGTGAATCGTAAAACAAGAAAGAGTATATATACCACAAGAAATGAGAGGGAAAGTTTAAATAAAATATCTTCTTTTGTTGCCAAAGGATTATAAATGTAAAGTGTGTATTTGAAAAAATATACATTTTCTTAGAAACGACGTAGAAATGTATTACATTTGATTGAATGTTATAAACATCAAACACTTCACCCTTCGATGTTTTTTTTTTTTCAGTAATGTAATTAGTTATATTTATCTTATTGAAAAGTTCTTTTCTCTGTATCAACAAAATATATACTAAACATTGAACCATAACGTTCATGACCTTCTATAAGTCATTTACTTCATCTATCAGTTCTTTTCATATGAACATTTTGAAAATAATATGAGAAGCTGAGAAATATCAATATCTACTTCCATGTTATTCACGAATACAGACAGTATGAGAATGGTAACATATGTTAATAAGACAAAGCTATATTGGTTTTTTCTGGATATTAAAGAAGAGTATTAAAGTAAACATCATTCTCAAAATACATATCAAAAGAACATACTGAGCAAGGTATTTTGCTAAAATAAAATTTTTAAAATATTTCTGACAGTAATGCAGCAAAAATTCAGTATAAAGCGTTTATTTGGAAGTATGACAGTGTATATATTGTCGCTTGATTGTTTGTAACATCTTCCACTGGAACGCCGGTGTCTTCCACTTCCAGTGCCGGGCACGTGGCCAAGGAAAGTCTCTACCTATGTTTTCGTTTTATTTTCGACACGACGCTGGTAATGAGAATCGAATCCAGGACCTCCCGATCATAAAGCGAGCGTTCTACCCAAAGCTACTGCGTAACATTATGAGAAAAAATTAAACAAAGGCAGTTCGTATTTGTATATTGAAAGGAGATCTGCGCTAAAATTAAGCAACGTTTAGCAAACAAAACAGTACGATGTCAAACAATAGACAGCGTCTTTATTCATGCAAGAATTTCATTAGGTATTTGATATGTTCGCAAACATGGCAGTATTAATATTCAGTAGATATACTAAAAAAAAGGAGAAAAAAAAGCTAGGAGGATTGATTGATTGATTGTACGTTGTTTAACGTCTCGTTCGGGAATGTTTCACTCGTACAGAGACGACACTATGCCGGTGAAGGGCTTCAGATTTAAACATTTACTCAGGACCATTGAGCAGCGAGGGTCTTAAACATGCCAACGCCTACCGTGACAGGAAGCCTCGGATTTTAAGGTCTCATCCAAAAGACCCATACATTTTACTCCTAGTGCCGGGCGCTTGGCGAAGGAACAGTCACTACCTTTGTTTACGTCTTAGGTTTGACGCAGCGCAGCAAAAGAGAATCAGACCCTGGTCTCCCGATCACGAAGCAAACGCCCTACCACTGGCCAGGATGCCTTGACAGGAATAGATACGAAGAGACGTAGACAAAAATAAATAGAGCGTCTTTGTGAGATTTGTCTAGTACATGTAAAGGGACTTAGGAAAAGGGTTTTTGGAGGGGTTGGATTGTCTATTATTGATAAAATAGTAATCATTAAGTTATCTTTGATCTTGGAAAAGATTTTTTGTTTAATTCTGTTTGCATTTCTCAGATGGTGGTGGGCTTACACTAGGTTAGCCTCACTGGAAAGATCAAATGGCAGATCTAGAGTATGACCACGTTTCAATAAATTCTGTTAATTACTTTACACCTGCAATTTAGTCTGATTCACCGATACTAAATAGGTATCAGTTTAAACAGCTATAATGGCAAGGATTCATCGATTACAATGAATGATAATACTTTACCACAGTTATTCCGCATGTCCCACAAACTTTGGATTTAACGCCAAAATTCCACATACCAAAACTCGTAATTTCTTGACCATACTGGTAGTTTTTAGCTAGCAATACCTTTGCGTACTGTTCATTCTTGTCAAATAAGCTTCAATTCGTTTATAATTCTTTTTATAAATACATGCATATCTCAGTCACATGAATAAGTTTTTATCGATTCTTAGGGAAGTTACACATATATATCAATATATTTGAGTAAATAACTTTATAATGACCTTACAATCATCAGAACAAAAAAGGCAACATAGACAATGCAAACATATTTCTTAATCTAAATGATCAACCCCTGGATCCAGTCATAAAATTTTCCAACATTTGTATAATATCCGTAATGCTTCGGTCTGTCACAGCCAACACCCCATGAGACCACGCCTACAAGAACCCAAGGATGACTGTCAGATAACCGCATACTTAAAGACCCACCACTATCTCCGTAGCAAGCATCGCCAAAGAGCGCGCGCTCGTATCCTGCACAAAACATGGAGTCGGTAAAGTTCCCGTTACCAATGTTTGCGTCCTCGCACTTTTTACGATTAATCGTGGGAACATACACATCATGGATTTGTTCTGGGGTTTCCTTTATGTTTTCATAGATCTGACCACACCCAATGACCCGGCCTACCCTTCTTCCAACACGCTGAGTTAGAAAAATATCCTCAATCATATCTTTAGGCTTGAGACAAAGTGCTTGTATTTTATCAGTAAAATTGACTGGATCATCCATTTCAACCAATGCAATATCGTTATCATAAATTGCTTTCTTGGCAAAATCAGGATAAGTTATGAATTGTTTGATCCTCCTCTTTATTCCGCCTTCGCCGTTACATTTGTTGGTTCCCAATATGAGATCTATATTAGTCCTTTTTAGAGGACGTTTGAATTCATTGGAGTAATGTGCAAAACAGTGTGCAGCGGTAATTAACCACTTATTTGAAATGAGTGTTCCTCCACAAAAGGTTTTATCCTGAAAATATAAATGAAGGTCTATGGAAAACTTGCAATTAAGTCTGTGCCTTTTTATTCAAAGTTTGAATTAAGAAAATACGATTTCCTTCTAAGAAAGGCAGGAAGCATATTAATCTTCAACAAAGATTGTATCAACTTCTGTCACATAAAAACATTTGATTAAATTTTGTTTTTCACTTTTACCTATCGGAGAAAGAAAACTTGAATGTCAATGGGAGTTTAATATAAGAACTATAATGCCTGAGATAGAGTCATAAGATTTTCATATCCAATAATTACAATCAGAAAACACCAAGGTATCGATTTATAGCTAGCTAATAAGTAGTCATATTTGTTTTTAAAAAAATGAATGTCAACATACATCTTTGGAGTCAACCATGGTTCTTTTTATCTTCCTCACCATTAACTTTGCAACGATTTCTGAATCTATGGTGTTGTGTCATTTTACTGATACTCATTCGATTCATAATTCATGTAAATCTTACTGCAAACTTTAAATCTTTTTAAACTACATATAACTGTACATAGAGCTAATTTTTCTCAAGCACCTCAATATTTTCCCTCAAAATGACATGCCATGCTGTTGTTTCTGTGGTGACCGCACTCCCGCTACTAATTCTAGCAGACATCTGTGGTACTGCAAAGGACGCTGCAGGTGCTCCACACTCTAAAAAGCCATAGTGTATGTTTATTTACTGGTCTGTTAACTGCCTACGTGCAACAAAAATACTTGCGTGTTTGTACATTTTTAAACAGAATATAAATAGATATGATTGTTGATATTTATGAATTATTCTCTTGACGGATTCCTACTCTCATTGATATGAAACGAAATTCCATTGATTCAAACACATTTGTATTACCTTTGAATTTCCAGGTATGTATTTACGAATAAGTCTACCAACTTTAAATTTCCTCAAGTAATGCTGAAGTTTCTTTTAAAGTTCATTTCTATATGTAATACATTTTAGTAAATTGTTTTACAGACAAATTTTGAGTGTAGATTTTAAATATGAATTCATTTGCAAAGTATATCTTATTTACTACGAATAGTTCGACTAGCTTTCCAGAATTGTTTCTTTTGTATACTATAGTAGGATTATTTCTCTTTTGAAATACTAATATCTCTTCCTAAATAGACAATCTTTCATCAGAAATGAAACCTTATTTCTGAGAAAGTACGATTATATGACAAACATATTTATATATACACAATGCACAGGAACCAAAGACACGTAACATCACTACTATTGATCAATAAACATGGTTCATTAGGAATTAAAGTACATCAAATTACCAATTATATGTGACTGACATGAATGAAAACACTGACTATTTGACACGTAATGGGCACGTAAAGCAAAACTGAAGCCGATTTACATGATAAGACCATTAGTATCACGTGATGGAAAGATGAAGAGGAGTCTTTGAATGGCATGAAATCAGCACGAGCTCTGACTCTTATTCTTATTGCAACTACATTAATCATGGTCATTGAAACCACATTACTCATTAATTGTTGTTGCACGAACAGAATTCTTGCAAATCATCTTAGCCCTTGATTTTAAGCTATTGATAATCATTTGTCAAGGAAACGTGCATTTTCACCAGAAGTAATTGAAATAATGCTGTAAATAATACTGTATTTGATGTAGCATTGAAAATTACCTTAATATCCTCCTTTTATATAAAGAATATTGTTATTTATTGCAATTATAAAAAATCTTCTCATAACTTTGCAATGGAAATCTACCTTCATGCTTATATTCTGTGTCCACCATTATTTTTGCATATCGCTGAGCCGTACAACCGGTTTCTCCTTCCGCCAAACAACAATAATTTCCTGTATCTTCTGGTCTTACTGCGTCAATTTTCAGGTAAAATCCACCTGCCAATATCTTTGCAAATAAACATTATATTGTGCTGTACTGTTTCTTCCTAATCCGGATTAAGAATTTCCATTAGATATTATTTTTTCTTTTACATCCATTTAATGTTTATTCAATTTTCAAATACACGTACACGTATTTAAAACTCCTTATATATAATTCATATTTTGATGAAATTTACTTTGGGTAAAACAGTTTACTTTCGGTTTTAAAGTAAAGAAACTGGGGGGATAAGCCGAGCCATATGCCTACATAACGATCGATAAAAAATCAATTAATTCATTTTACAAAATTTTCACTTTTTGTTGAATTAATGTAATGCTTATTACCATTTGCATACAAATTTGACAAAACCTGAATACTGTAACAGCGAAAACGATTCTGATTAACACAACAAAATGGCATCACGCTCAATTTTCACAGAAACTGACATAAATTGGATGATATAACTACATTTTTTAAATAGAGTGGGTCATCGTACCATTTTTTTGAGAACGATTAATGAAAGGCAACGGAAAGATGCTGCTTTTTATACTTGCAAAAATTTGGTATGAAGACCCACTCTACATAAAAAATTAAGTTAACTTACTTAAATTTTCACCGTGGTCTTAAAAAATTCTAAGTCCAAAAACGTTTGCTAAATATAGAGAACTGTATGCTATTTAAATAGTCATGTATGTGTGAGTCCGTGGTCTAGTGGTTGGCGAGGAGCTCTTTAAAGGGACGTTTATTGAGGAAAGTGTTCGAGTCATGCTCTTTATTTTTTGATTTTTTTTTTTTTTTTTTGGTTTTAATTTTGTTTTACTTTATAAAAAATGTCTATAAGAATAACATATTTTTCACTGGAAATAAAATATATACATGTAGTAATGAACTTATTTACAGTAAATCATTTAAAATGCCGGATAAAAATTATAATATATATTTGAATACTTTTACTCCCGTTTTTATTTATTTTAAATAAAAGCGCTTCTAGATCACCATTATCATTATATACGATATTAACATTTTTATAATATCTCCACAATAAGTGTAAACACTCAATATGCAGATTAATTAATAGAAGTCCTTACCCATGTTAGACATTTGTGACAGTAAATGAAAGTCAACTGTTTAGCTTGTTTAGAATATAAATATCATTTTGAAAACTACGGTAAACATTAAAATGCTTAAGTAAATTCGAACAATTGAGAGATTTTTGCAATGAATGTTCTTGCATAGCCGAAAAATGGGCATGGGCACATGGCTCGTCTTATCCCCCCAGATTCTTTTCTATTCTTTTTTTTTTCTTTAAAAAATCGACAAAATATGGCTAAAATAGGATTATTATATCCATAAATAAAAGAACAGTAAAACATTACTAAGTTAGCTTTTTCATATTTGATATTATTTACTGTAAATCACCAAATTTTCACGAAACTTTTTTCGCTAAAATATCATTTGATACTAATAATGGGGGGGGGATTTTTTTTTCCTGAATTTCCGTTATTCCTGTACATAATCCTTAGTAATTACAATCTAACCGGGAATGAAATATTCACAAGAGAGGGTCTTGCATGAAAAAAAAATTCTTGTGAATAAAGTTACTTACAGTAATATGTTCAATATTTACCAAGTAATGTGAGGAGGTAAGCTGTGTGTTGTCTTTATACCATGTTATTCGCTTTGCAGCAGGAACAAAACATGAGAGCAATGCCGTACTTCCAATTTCAACAACAGTGTCCATTGGACCTGCCTCCACAGCTAGTAACATTTTTTTAAAGGTTTGATTTTAAAAATAATTAAAGATCTTGAAAATAAAAAGTAAAACTTAAAAAAAAAATTGATATTACAAAAATTATAATATGCACGAATTTCCTCTAAACCTCTTATTTCAAGAAATTTTGTAAGCAACTTCAGAAAAAAAAAAACATTGCTGATCCTCAATATTAAGGTGAAATCAAATTGTCAAAAAGTCCTTCGGGAGCCACAATAAATATGACAGCATGAATACAAAGAAAATCGTTACCAAGATAACATGATTCTTTGAGAGTCAAGCGAAATTCTACTTCTACAAAGTCGGTGGCAGTGTTAGCAATGCACTTGTATGCCCCTTCCAATTCTTCACTGAAGTCCTGAATGTCCAGAATTCCTCCCGGTAGCACAGTGATGTGTTCATTATCTGACTGTAGAAGGAGACCCTCATACAGCCTAAAAACCAAATCATGGAAGAAATTATTCCTATTCTTAATGATTAGACCCTTCTCTAAATTTTATTTCTTAAAGATTTTATAGTTGAATTGACATGGTTTTAATGGCATATTCTGATTTTACAGCACAGCAAAGCACTCATAAGTAATGATTAACAATGCCTTATCATATTTTAAATATATGATAGAAGAAAAAAAAATGTAAACATGCCTCTGACGACTTTTGAAAAATAAAGGGAAAATTGAAAGAGATGGTAAAATGATTTAATTATACCATATATACTGTGCGCTGGGATCGTTTGATTTACATTCAAGTATTTCACGATTGCCTCGGAACACCTCGTGATCTTTCGGAGATTTAAGCATAGTCATGCCGGTAGAATTCTGAAAAAAATAATTATGTGTTTTTTTATATAAAGGTATGTCACTCGAGACTTTAGTTATATCACGAATTTTTTGAGGATTATATTTTAGATAAGTACTTATAAAGCATGACTCAAAAAATCGCAAAGAAAATTGGGAGTCAGTGTGTATCTTACTGAGCAACGGTACAATTAATTTGATCTTTTTGCACTTAAACTGTAACTCTTAGGTTAATCACTTTAATCTTTAGCATATTTTACCAGATGTTATCATGGCAATAAATATAATCTTATTTACGTAAAATACTTTGATTAGTATTTATCTTTGAACAAATCCTGTAAAATAATGCGCATAAATTATTGTGTGACCGTTTTGCACTAAAAAAAAGTATCATATTTCATGTATTTGGAGTATTAAAAATCTAAATAGGTAATAAAAAATAATTTGTAACAAACTTTTCATGACTTTAGTGCTGATCGGCTGGAAGTATCCTGAAGTTTAAAACAATAAAAGAAAAAAAATTGGGACCAGTAATGTAAATTTTGAGATATTGGTCAAATATGCAATTTTCAGGCAGAAAACAGTGACAATTTTATCTTGATTTCTTCAATAAATCTTCATTTCTTGGCAAAGTCTGTTGAGTGAATGTGTAAAATTGTACTAAAAATATTAATTAAATCCTATCCTTAATATTCCTAGCATATTATAACGGGAAAATTCTCTGAGTACAAAGTATCTAGGGCCAAAGTTCCTAGATATTAAATTTCACAAATATGTAGATTTGAAGAATTTTCTTCTAAATATCCTTCCACCACAAGAAATAGTCACTCATAAATCTTGTTTCTCTATGGCTTTGTGAGCAGTTTGTAAATTGCATTGTCTAATTCAAATATGCTATAGAAATTGAAATGTAATGAACAGTTTTGAAGTTAGAGATTCTGACCGAACTTTTCTTAAATGCTGACGAATGACATACTTTAAAATGAGTGATTAAATTAATATCTTTGATTTTCTTTATAGACATTTGGTGTCCACAAATGAAATTTGAATGAAAGTAGACTATAATACAGTTAGAGTAAGAGTTGGATTCTGAAATGTCATGAATACACCAAATGTATTTAGAGGATATATTCTCCTTCACTTCTGAACCAGTGGTTAAGGAAAGATGTAATTTATCACCAAATATTTACATTTCCAATGTCTTTGTCCGAGATCAAATTACAAATTGTAAAAATACTTTATTTCTACATAAATCTACTGGTTCATCGATAGGCGCGGTTAAAAAAATATCACGTGCGGTGCGGGGCGGGACAAATAGAGACAGAAGCGGGGCTATTAACACGGGGATTTGCAGAATCATGAGCATGTAAATATAAGGAATAACTGTCAGATTTTTTGGATTCATGACGATGATCAATCGATTGGCTTGCGTGATAATTTTATGCATAAACGCCTTCGGCGTTTATGCAAATTATCACGCAAGCCACTCGATTGATCACATCATGAATCCAAAAAATTAGACAGTTATTCCTTAAATGAACACTATTGTAAATATGGACATGGTTGTGGTGTCATTCTTCGGCTACAGAAACCGACGTTTCTGCATAAACGATGACTCATTGCTTATTCAATGTTTTCTGTGATGAGTGACTTATTTTTAGATTTTCTCCTGCCAAATAAGATAAATTCATCTTAAAATTCAAATATCTAGATTAGCAAACACTAGGTGTCTTCAATTTGAACGATAAATGATTAGAATATTTTAAATAATATATGATTTACTTTGACCTTAGTAAATGTAGGTCGCCATTAGGTATACATCAAAATTCTTACCTTGTTTATGTCAACTTTGGTCCTACAAAACGCTCCACCGTAACCTTGGTGACAGAAACATTTGAATGCTTCCTGGTTGTTCTGTACACAGTCTCCATGGTAACAAATATCAATGGAGCATTTCAATCCCACAGTGCATCTAGTAAAGAAGAATCCTGATTAGCGATCTATCTATACAAATCACATTTAATTTCATTTCACATCCTTGGGTACTAAAATAATGCATTTTTTGCCTATTTCAACTTTTGCATAATATTATACTTTTCTTTAAAGCTTTAGCTTATCTTTAAAAGCACACTATTTACGTTAAGCCAAAAATGAAAATAGCAGAGCAATGGAGATACCAGCATGATTTACATTTGTGTTCCAGCCTTGTTGACACAAACAGTCCCGGATGGACAAGGAGGATAGCACACTACAAGTAAACAAGAGCCGCCGTTTTAGGGAGCTTTAATTCAAGCACTTCGAAATGACTGATTTTATGATCTTGAAGTTTAATTCTAGAGGAACTCAAGAAATTCATTCTTTAACATTTTGTACTAAAAATCAATAGGGGTCTTCTGTAGACCATAGGAAGTTGTGGTATAAAATTTCATTGCAAAGCTCAAAGGCTTCTTGACACATCGTCCGGAAACTAAAGTGTTACACACAGACAGAAATACAGACAGACAGACAGCTAGACGGACGGATGGACAGACATATAGACCAAAATCAATATACCCTACTTTCATTGAAAGCCGGGAACAAAAGTTTACGGTGTTGAAATTTTCTGTCTTTACAGATCAATTTGAAACATCCATTTACTCATATTCATATGGCAAATAATTTTAGCTTTATAATGAAAAAATGAACGCAACAAATTATATACCTATCACGTATAAATAAGTGCATTAGGAAAAGCTTCATCCATTTTACCATATAAATGTCAAATTTCCATTATCCAAAATTGTTCTATGATGCATATATCGTATTACAAAGCCTGAATAGCGACCATTAGTGACTAGTGGTCCCATAATAACAAGGCATATGTGGGCTAAAATTACGTACAATATTGCCTAGAATAGTTGACAAGTTGTATTAATTGTATGGTAACAAAATCATTTGAAGACCATCAACTACAAAATCATATGATGAATATACTCTCCAAGCTTAATTTACTTATCTTTTGCAATGGATGAGGTTTTTTTCTTAACTTTGTATATTCGTATTGTAAGTATTATAAATTTACTAAACACACTCAGAAGTGTTAATATGGTGTACGATTAACACATTTATAGAAGGAATCGATAATTAAAATGATTTATTTAATATTCAAGAAAACATTCTATGAAGTTAAAGACCAAATTGGGTGATTTTAAAGTAAGGTGAAACATATACTTTGTATGTATGAAAACATATGGAATACAGTTGTGAAAAAATATTCTTTTGTAATACATATTGGCAAAACTATGTTAGTTAATGCAGTCACAAATATTGTACATTTTACATTTTATGAAAGCGTAGAAAAACGTTCACTTTTTAATCATACCTCGTTTTGGAAGTAGGTCAAAGGTCGCCTCGTATCCTCTCCAGTGAATAACAGAATCAGACCGGAACTCTATTCGAATACTTCCCGATGCTGATTCGAACACATGTTTCTGTTCAGAAACTCCACAAAGTTTTCCAATTATTGTCGAATCTAAAATATTTGAAAGGAAAACACATTAATGTGATTTTTGACCCTTAATTGAAATACAGTTCTGAAGGGATTAGACCAGTTACCTGCATGTTCAGTCGCATATATTGTTAGCGAATCAAAGGAACAGTTTTTAGATGCTTCCATCTCAAGAAAATTTACTGATACTCTAATCACATGGTTAACAATAGGAGCCCGGATGACAGTTACACAGTGAGCATTGTTTGGATAATCTTCCGGGTACCCAGGACTTGAAAGGGTTCCATTTATCTCCGTTTCTATGGTTTTGTCGCAACTGTTGTCTATGAAGAGGGAAAATATTAAAAAAGAAGATTCTTTCAAAAGATAATTGACTTTTTGTATGTTTCTTTTACAGTTGATTTACCGACTACCTATATTTTTCTTTTAATTAAACTACCATTTCGCCTTTACATTAAATTTCTGCAAAAGTAGAATAAAATGAAAAATCAGACTTGATGGTAAAAAAAAATGTTATGAGTTAATTACCATTCAAAATTGGCAGAAATGGAAGATTCTTATCACGTGATTTGGTATAGAGCTTGAAGCCCCGCCCCTCCTGATAATAGTCTGACGCAAAGACCAGCAGCATCCAGTTGGACTCACTAGAGAGGGATGTGTTCTTCTGTTTTCCACAAAAGGTTTTCAATGGTTTGCCATCTGGTAAACGCAAAAATATTTTTTTTTTTATAATTTTTAAAACAGAAATGTTGTCGGAAGTTGTGATGAAAAGATACTTGCATTAACACCAGAAATAATTTGGAGATCAAATGAAATAGGTGAATATAACAAAGTGATCAAAAAGTGATCTTTCTATTTTAAAAAAAAAATAAACAATACAAATCCATGAACTGAGCATAAACCAAGGATCCCTGGAAATTCCAGGTGTAGGTCAGGTGCCTAGGAGGAGTAAGCATCTCTTGTCGACTGGTCTTACCCGCCGTAAGCCTTATGTATTGGTCAGATAGACGAAGTAAGGCCTAACAACTGATTATGTCAGTATAATACGACCCAATGATACATTGTATTTGCTTAAAAAGTCATGACGACCAGAGTATTTACAAAATGTTGATTTTAAACGAGGTTGTAGAAATCCATGTAACATCAACTTTGTCAGTAGCTTGCCTCGATTTAAAATTTGATCATGTTTAGGGCATGCTATTGAGTATCGAATAAGTTTGGAGATGTAAACACCATATGCAGTTGAGAGTGGTACATTACTATATAAACAAGGAAAGTCAACGATGGAAAAGCTGATGTCATCTCGTTTGTCATATAGTTTAGGTGTTAGTTAGCTATCATGTTGTAAATTTTGAATATACTAGGGGGAGGTAAATGCAAAATTTACAACATGATAACCATGTTGTAAATTTTGCATTTACCTCCCCCTAGTAAAATTTACAACATGATATAGCCCTTATCGTCTATAGCTAGTAAAACATTCAAACATGAAACATGTGTGGAAAACTATGACCACTTTATAACGTTTTAAATGTGTACATGTATATTGTAAACAAGTTACTTGGGTACTTAGAAAAAGTTCTACATTGCTAGTAATTGAATATCTTTTTCAATTCTATTACATATTATCGGTAATACATGTAATAAATCTAACAATCATTTTAATCATTTGAGCCTCTTTGAAAATTTAGATATCTGAAGAAAAAAAACATTTATAGCTGTTTCGGTAGCTTTTTCATATTGAAAAAAACACAACTTGCGTGATGTTCTTCCTTCGTAAACATCAAGTCGGTCAAACAGACATGTTTCATCCGTCACGTCAAGAAAAACCAACTCTATGTCACACTGTTTGTCATCCGGGAACTAAAGAAAAATAGAAATTATTATTAGTATCATGTTATCTTCATTCGCTTATCGATATATTTAGAAGTAAGTATATGCTACAGAATATTATTTGTGCTGAATCTTTATAATATTTTATTATTAATTTATTTATAATATCATTTACATGTTCGCTATAAAAGTAAGTTTTTGGTCCTTTTTGGGTTATTTTAAAGTAGGTGCTCTAAAACACTCCGCTTCCATGGTATAAAGTTCATTTGAACGCGGAAATTAATTCAAAATTATCCTTTCATCTGATGATTTTGACCTACTTTCTATCGAATGCTTATGACAATTAACCACCAATAAGGATGTTAAAAATATCCTTCTCAAATTATAATTATGGTAATTTAAATCAATGTAAATACAAGGCTTTGTAAAGATATCGTATTTATTGTTATTTATATGATCTATTATCAACATTATTCTCATTTTCTTCCTGTTTTTGTTCACTGGTTCCTATCATAGTTTCCCATTGATTCATATATATCATGAAATTTGAATAGTTAAAAAAAATTGACAAACCTTATATATACAATCTATTTAAATTAAGAAATCTTAATGGCAAATATCTCCGTAAATATCATGTGTCTTTAAAAAAAACCCAACCTTTGGTGTCGTGTTATAAAAAGATCTTTATTCAACTTAACAGCGGTAGATGTATACGGAAGTGAAACAAATAATGACGCTTAAACTATGGTAGTCTCCGTTTTTATTTTATTTATTTATTTTTATTCTTTTAATTTTTTTTCTTTTTTTTTTTAAATATCAAGACGTAATCAAATACTTAGAATTATTTTACATGAATCAAATATAGACATAACGATGTTTGCTTTGTTATCAGAAATTTGCATTACGACAAGACTTATGTCAATCAAAATGATAGGGTTTACACGATAATCTTATTTCAACAAATAAAGGTATTAATTTTCCAACTGGGTAAATATATAGAACATAATTTATCCACCTATGACAAGAAAATTTGAACCCCCTTTGATATTTTATCACTGAATTGACGAAGTGCTCCAAAAATGTTTATTTAGTGAATAACTGAAATCAGTGTCCCTATATTGCTTGTGGACTCGAATTTACAAGAACAATGCAAGGCACACTTTATATGATAAAGGGTTTTCAATCAGTCCCGCTAAGAATTAATTCTATTGAGACTAACTTTTTAAGATTAAATAAAAGAAAAATCCTGCAATTATACTTATATATTGTTTTTCTCTCTATTTTTGTTCACTCTAAATGTACTATTCTTTATCACATGATTAAGTAATGCGTGAGTGTAGTTCTCTCTCTCTCTCTCTCTCTCTTTCTCTCTTTCTCTCTCTCTCTCTCTCAAAACAGAAAAAAAAGATGAGAGAGCACCCTAAAAAAATTAATGAACTTCTGTTATTTGTAGCTGTGTTGGAAAATAATTTTTTGTCGTGGTCATGCCTTTCTGGGAAAAAAATTAGGATACGTTTCTTTATATTTACACAGTTGCAAAAGTTTACACCTATATGTGTTGAAATAAGATTACCGTGTTAACCCTATCTCTTAGATTGACATAAGTCTTGCTGTAATGCAAACTTCTGATAACAAAGCAAATATTGTTAGGAATTTTTCTTTTTTTTTTTTTTTTTTTTTTTTGATTTTTAAGACATAAGACTTATTCTTGACAGAATTCGAGTGCTCTCCCTCTCTCTCTCTCTCTCTCTCTCTCTCTCTCTCTCTCTCTCTGATATGACGAGACAACCTGCAAGTTTCTAATATGTTATGTTCATCGCTTTTTTTTACTTCTTGATTCTGGAAGGAACAATATCCTGTTAAATGTTCCTTTAAGTATCAATTTTAAATCTGATACAAGATTACTATACATTAAGTAGCACACACATAATTGCATATGACTAACCTTGACCCAGTAGAGACATATTTGATTGGGTGGGTACGTGGAAGGATATCCTGGAGAAGTGATGTATCCATCACGTGTAATGATCGAATTGCATTGGGTTGGGCTACCTAAAAGACATGATATTTGATAAAATATATCAGATAATGTATTTAAAAAATAAGACACTTTACGTTAAGGAATGCTATGAAAATATATGCAATGTACATACAGGAAGAATATAATCTTTGTCTTTGATGATAAATTAATAATAATGATAATTAATACATAATAATTAATACATGTGTTCCGGCTTAAACTTGGAACTTACACATCAAAATAAAAATCCCAAGGAGGAAGAATCGGTTTTGAATGGAGATTTTTTTTTCTTTTCAGATTTTTCACTCGATCCATATTTTTTCAGTTAAGTATTATTATCTAATTGGTTTTTGTGATCATAATAAAATTACAAACAAGACATATACTTAATAAGTATAATTTTGAATACTGTCCAATTTTTTTTTTTCAAAGTCCAAACTTTTGATTTTCAAAACTTATTAAAGTTAGCCTTCAATTTCATTCAAATATATTTTAGGTTTTATCCAAATACAAGTTTCCTAGACAAATCCTGAATGGACTCTGAAATCCCAGTAGTAAATTCCGCGTGATTATAGATGTCATTCTCTTTCTATGTACAGAAGTAATAAGTTTTCCCCTGATGTACGCTAAGGCTTCTGCTATATTAAGTCGAGGTCGGATTTCTTATTTGTCAGTCAAATAATCTCAAGACAAAAAAAATACTTTGGTTTATTGCTACATGTACCACTGACGGGATTCTATGGAAATTCCAAGAGGGGTGAATTGGTTTGGATGCAGTTGAATGACAAGAGGTCCTACAAATTATATATGTGTAAATGATTTCCTATATCGAAATTCTCAACCAAAAACAAAATTACAGCAATGAACCAACGTACATAATTCAATACTAAACAAAAGCTATCTTTTTTCATAACTGGAAGATCGCGAGGAGAATTTTGTTTCACAAAAAAATGGAACAGATCTTGTATCTTGATGTTTTCATTATATATTATCAAAGTAATTCTACTTCCAAAGTCTTTTTGTAATTATATATCATTGTTAATAACTTAAAACAGATTAAATAAGACTATTCGAGTCTTAATTTAGCAGTTCCATATTTCAGCTGATTTGGAAATTTGCGAATGGTACACATACATGTATGTATATTTTTTTTATAATGCTTGAAGATTCTTATTTATTTATTTACTTATTAATTCATTTGAAATTTTTTTTTTTTTTATTTTTTTTTTTTTTAACTTATAATTGAGAATGAGTTCCTCTTTATGAAGTTCAAAAATATTGTGTAGGGTAAATATTTTTTTTTTCATTAAAGTAAAAGTAATCAACTTACGTCATCAACATATTATAAGTGTAGATTGACATTATAAGAATATCATCCGACTTGCTATATATAGAAAAAAAAAACGCTGATACTTTATTTACGTAATTTATTTACGAAAATTCATTCATCATCATAAAAGAAGTAAAACTAAATACAATACCTGTAATTGACATTTTGATTTGCAACATATCTTCTGAGAGCAACTGTGATCATTATAAAATTCTATTAATCTTTTAAAGGGATACATATTCTTCTCAATATGCTTGGCAAAACATGCTAGCTAGAATTTTCTATGGTAAATTTAAATTCTTTTCGGTGTCAAATATATTATTTAAAAAAAAATCAATAACTTTATTTGTCAATTCTCTAACCCAAAAAATAGTAAATTATCTTTAACTTAACTTTGGGGTCTCTTGATGTGATATAATATTCCAATACTTTTATTTATTACACTTTTTACGATTTACTCTGAAAATTAGAAGAAAAAAAATATAGCCAATAGCTATTTCCAAAGTTCCACATTAAGTATGTTTAATTTGAAAATAATATTTGAATATACCAAAAAAAAATGTGTCTTTGAAACCAAAAATGTGAGATCGGGAAATTGTGAAATTTTGATAGTAAACTATGTTTTACAATATCACACTCACCATTGATTTAGTTTCTTTAGGGTTTATTTCACTAACATTACGGGAAACGTTCGCTTTATATACTAGTACATAAAAAAAATCTAATTCCCATCTTTTAATTATTTTTGGATTAAGGCCACGTCAAGGGCATTATCTTTTTTCTTGACATTAAAATAAAAAGAAAATGCTGTTACCAATCAATTGATGCCTACTTCTTTTTCAAAAGATTAAATATTTTTCTTTTTGCATAAAAAGATAATACCTCATATGGTTTTTCAGACGATAATACCAACTGAGATAAATACTTTATCTAAAACAGATATCTGCTGACCTAGATTTCCTAGATTTTCATAAATTTTCAGGGAATACTATTATTTTTTTAATATCTTTCGTATATTTATCTTTTTTTTTATTTTCACATATGGTGAAGTAGTCATATAAAGAAACACAATGACACAAAAACAAAGATGAGCCCTCTTTGATAAGAAAGAAAAACACCTTTTACTGATTTTTTTGCTCAGTTCTGTTCATTTTCGCTCATTCCTGTTCATTTTCGCTCAGTTCTGTTCATTTTCGCTCAATTCTGTTCATTTTCTCTCATTCCTGTTCATTTTCGCTTAATCCTGGACATTGAACATTGGAAGCTTTCAAAAGCTAACAAGAGTGAAGTTTGGAAAATTATATGCTTTTGATATATTCTAAAATCAAGTCCCTAGTTATTAATTTCATTTACTTCAGAAAAATCCTTTCAGCCTTTGATGGTTTAAAAAAATGTTAAATTCATGATTGTAATAAATTTGAGAAGCATAAAAGAAATATCTCTATATTATCTGATTCTCTTTATTACATGAAAATATCTTCATACGCCGCCGTTGAGCCAAAAATATAGTCCCTGTTAAATTTTGTCTTCAATTTTCTTTTTTCTATTCACAGTAAGAAGGAAATGAAAATATAAATATCTTTTAAATCCCTAACATATAAATATAAAAGACATTAAAGCAAATTTTTATAAACTTTCAAAATTTCATTTAGTTCGAAACCAGACTAGAATCCTTCCTTGAAATAACCGTCATAAAATTCCCTTTTTATCAATTCAAAATAATCAAGGAAAAATAGCATTGTACTCGTACTATATTATAATACGATATTTTAATTTCATAGCTTTTTATTATACACGTATCTTAATCTTTTGTTATCCCCTGAGATAAATTCAAATTTTATTGCTTTCTTTTATTAAATTCATGCCCACAATTTAAAGAAAAATAGAATGACGCAAGTCCAAGGAACAATAAAGCTCTGCACAAAGCGTGAAATGCTTTCGGAGGATTTTATATAGTCTTGGGAGTAAAAAGGGAAGAAGAATTTGTAAAAGGCATTGAACTGCGAGAGAAAATGTGTATTAATCAAATTATAGTTACATGAGCGGGGAATAATTATATTTCAATCATTTTAAAAGCTTACAATGAAGACGCATGCTGGAACCTAAATTCAAAATTTTTAATTATTTTTTTTTCATTTTTTTAACCGTTGATTATTTCAGATCAAATTGGCTGCCAACGATCGTAAAATTGTAACTTCAGTATTAAAAAAATCAGATATTCTATTTCTAAAAAAAGAAAATCATATATATTTCAAGACAACCCATCTTTTTCAGTTTACTTAATTGATGTCAACACCTTCCATTTTATTTATCTACAGTTTGGGACACGGAGGCCATTCTCGGTCAAGTCTGACTGAACAGGATCCTGCAGAATCTAGAGGCTACTAAGGTACCGGAACCGACTCAAATACATCATGTCTGGCCCCAAGACCACAAACAGACTTAAGTCAAAATTTTGATTTTTAATATCTTAAGTTTCATATAACGTTTTAACCTAAATTCAATTCAAACATATGCTGAAAATTTTATTGTATTATCAGTATTATTTCAAAAGTTATATCGATATCGATTTGAAATTTTGACTCAAGTCTGTTCTCAGTTTATGCTCTTTGGGCCTAATTGTTGATGCCGTCGTTAAGATTCGTCTAATAAGTACAGAGTCCTTCATCATTTGTTTTATCTCTAGAAATCATAAGTTAGTTGACCTTCGGGAATATGGCACACCTATCTTTTCCTTTTTACCTTACAACCCACACCAGCACCCCCACCTATACGTCAATATTATCCTTGCCTTTCGTTCGTTCTGCAAACAAGCAATGCAGTACCAGACGAATTCTCAGTCCAAAATTAAGACAGTGGTCACAAATTGGATAAGAATTCGAATAGTTTTGGACGGTGGGTGAGGGTGGGGATGGAAATATTGATGTGGGGTTGGAATCAACAATCAGATATACTGTACGTGAGTACTCTGGCTGTTAGTAACAACTACTGCAGGGATCCTGGTTAATCTGTCGAGGCCGAGACGGGCCTCTGTGATTTGAAATCATCATACTATTTAAAAAGAATCAACATCATGATTTAAAAATTACATGCGTTTGACATTATATAAACTGAGTAAAAAAATTCGAGTATTGGGTAATTTAAAATACAATATTATGCCTTGGACATGAAAAACATAATTACACTAAATGAAGATAAAGAGTTCTTGAGAAAACATGATATTTTGAGAAATATATAACACAATAAATTGAAAAGTAAGTTCAGTCCAAAAAAAGAAGAAGAAAAAAAGAAAAGAAACAGTGAATTTTATACTATGATACAAATATAGAATTGTTTTGTAAAGAAATGAAGATATAAATCACGAAAAGTTAGGAAAATGTGCATGGGACTTTATCCAAACTAACCGTCGTACAGAAACTCCATTTTCTGAGAACGGGATGATTTTTTTTTTTCAAGAAAGAAATAACTTTATCTGGATTAAATAAATGGATGCATGATTACATATAGTTTTCACATGAAAAGAAATTAATCTTTTGAATGATCAAAAAATCATACCTCAATTATAAGTTCCCTACTGGTGAAACTGGAGGGGACTATAGGATTCCTCCTCGTCTGTTTGTCTGTCTGTCAGTCTGTCCCACTTAGTTTCCTCACCTTTTTCTAAAAGCTTGCGAAAATTGAACTGATTTTGGGTATGAGGGAATCTTGATGAGTTACAGATCAATTTTGCATTTCTTTCCGCTTTGATTGCGATGATTTTTAATCGAATTATGGCCTTTTTAATTTCTAAGAGGGGACCAGATTTCCCACTTGTTTTCCGCACTTTTTTCTCTAAGCACTTGCAGATATTTAGCTGCTTTTTGATATGCGAGTCTACCTTGATGAATTATATTTCAAGTTTACATTTTGTTCTACTTCAATGATTTTTGACGAATTATGGTCTTTTTAAGGGGAGCCAGGTTACCCTTAGCATATTTAGGTTTTGTTTAGTTTAACGTCCCTAGCTTTTCACGCATCTTGAGACGCCACCACTTACCGGTGGATGGCTGCAAATATAGATCTATACTCGGCACTCAGGGCCATTGAACAGTGAGGGATCTTTTTCGTGCCAGCACCTACTGCTACACGGGACCTCGGTTTATATGGTCTCCACGTCCCACAGTGGGATTGGAACCTACGACGTAAGCATCATGTCCTTACTCGGCGACTCTAGAACAAACGCTCTACCACTGCGCCACGCGTTCTTAGGTAGGGGACTAGTGCTTATGCAATACTTGCAGAATGATGAAATATTACAAATGTAGTAATTTATTAATAAATGATATTTGTATGATTGTCCATATACTGGTAGTAACAGAAATAGAACCCATTTTTCCCTTCAGTCATTCCATCACTGCGAACTTTTGTAGCACTGGGTTTTTTTTCTGTGTCTTGTTTGTTAATATCGAGTTGTTCTGTGTTTTTCTTGTCCCTCTCTTTTGCAAAGGGAGGGGACATTAAATCGCATTCATCTGTCAGTCTGTCTATCATAAAAACTGTAACATTGTTCAAAACTTTTGAATGAGAAAAGATAGGACTTTCATACCTTTGACAAGACCTTTCCATATATTCTATGATTCTAGACCCCGTGGCTTTGACCTTGAAGTTTGACCTTTTTTCAAAAATTTTAATATCACTTTCATCTTGGTCATAACTTATGAATGAAAAAAGATAGAATTTTCACTTTTCACATGTTTAACCTGTGACAAGGGCTTTCCAAATATTCTTTGATTTTTGATCTCGAGATCTTGACCTTGAAGTTTGACCCACTATTCAAAGATTTTAACATTGTTGTTTCTTAAGCTTTTGAATGAGAGATATTTGATATGTACATAACAGGTGACAAGACGCTTTTGACCTAATTTTCAAAAAAAATGACATTGGTGATAACTTTTGAATGAGAGAAGATAGGACGTTCATATTTGACATGTGCACTACCAGTTTTAAGGCCTTTCCGAATGTATTCTGGTTTTTAACGTTGTGACCTTGACCTTAAAGTTTAACCAACAGTCTTCATTTTTTCATATTGGCAATAACCTTTGAATGAGAGAAGATGGGCCTTTCATATCTAACATATACAATACATTAGACAACATCTGTCAGAAAGATATATCATTTTTGACTCATGACCTTGACCTAGAAGTTTGACATACTTTTCAAGAATTTTAACTCTGTCCATAACTTATGCTCCAGAAGAGAAAGGGATTTCATTTCTCTTTTCACGCGTACATTAATTTCGTATTGTATTATTATATTTAACCTCATGGCCTTGATCTTAGAGTATGATGCAGTTACTGCTTTGAGAAGCTTTAATCTTTGCCATAACATTTATCAATTCAAGAATTTATATCTTTTTTTATGATGGACAGACAAGACAGGACATACACACAAGACAGTTACAATACTAGTATGCCATAAATAACTGCATCCCAACCACTAAGACCCCAAAAGCGGGGGACCATAATTCTTGGAATTTGCTTGTTGATATTTGATTAATAAATATTAAATCCGGGTTTTATTTGCCATGCCCCACTGTAAACATGTTATAGAAGCGCCATATTTTATTTCAAGAAAGCTTGTTTTAAGAAGAGATAAGTCCTTGGATGCTGAACGGAATTTTGTTGCATGGTTCTATAATGATGGTTGACAGACAAAATTAGAGTTTCGGTCCATGTAAACCGATCACAGTAGCCTAGTGGTAGGGCGTTCGTTTCGTGATCATGAGGCCCGGGTTCGATTCTCGTTCGCCGCATCGCGTCAAACCTAAGAAGTAAACATAGATAGTGACTGTTCCTTTGCCAAGCGCCCGGCGCTACAAGTGAAAGTCACTGATCTTTCGGATGAGACCTTAAAAACCGAGGTCCCGTGTCACGGTAGGCGTTGGCACGATAAAGAATCCTCACTGCTCAATGGTCCTGAGTGCTGAGTATAGGTCTAAATTTGAAGCCCTTCACCTGTATATGGTGACGTCTCTATATGAGTGAAAAATTCTCGAATGGGACGTCAAACAAATTACAATCAATTAAACTTGTGATCCATTTTAAACATGAATATTAATTATGTATCAAATATTTGTCTTAACAACTATAATTTCAATTTATGGAATTTATCCAATTTGCTGCATTATGATTAATACCTTTTGGGACAGTTTTGAATGACAGCTGAAACCCCCAGTCCTGAAACGATCCATCGGAGACAAAGTACAGGAAAACCCTATTAGATTCCGTTATCAGCCTCAAAGGATGATAACCGCAGAACTTGCCAATGGAAGCGCTGATGTTCTCAGACCCATCCCGAATTTCCAAGTAATCCCAGCTGAAAAATAGACACAGTCTGGTGCAAATAACTGATGATTGTTATGTTTCAATGCCTTTTCAGGAAGAAAAAGAAAAACCAAAAAAAAAAAAAAATTAAGTTGACCTATATGTATTATTAGCCTTGTTCCTGTCCCTTCCTTTTAGTAGATGAGGCAGAAAACGAGGCTAATGTGTCATGGACAGACCAGTATGATTGTCTAGTCTGAATCGCAAGGGATTCCCAAAGAGAGAATGTGAAAGGCGATTGTTAAGAGAATTTAAAACGTCAGATGACATATAGCTTTTGACACAATAATAGATTATAATTTCCTTCTTTGATATACTTGGACGATCTATCGAATTAAGTCTTCCAAATTTTGTACAGAATGTTATAAATTTGTCGATGATTTTAAATAAAATAAATCAAGATTGCTATATTTGATCATTACATATACATTGTAATAATGTGTATATTCCATTGCTGATTTAGGTCAGTGTTATATTTTTGCCAGTACTATCTATTCTAGATCTTGAGAAGATTAGTACATAAAACATGATGAAAGGCAAAGGAAAAAACAATAAATCAAAAATCAAACAAAAAGCAAATTAAAAATGTCAGAATCAAAACTAAGATGTTCAGTGCATATTCTTTTGAAATATAAATACCCTCCAAGTGTCGCCAGCTCTTAACGTGGACATGTTCCTTAATTGATTTTTACATTTTTAACTCCAGCAAATAAATTGGTCTCGGTGTCACTAAATGACATACCCTCTTATCATCACCTACCTATGTACCAAGCCTGTGTTTTCAAGTTCCCATATCACAAATTTATGGACTGATGATTTTTTTTTTAATTTAATTGGGTTCAAGGTCTAGAAAAATGTCTTTGCCTCTAGTCAAACGCTACATTTACTTCTGTGCCAAGTTTGAGTGTCAAAATACTTTTTCATAACAAAGTTATGGATAAGACAAGAAAATTTACACTTTAAATCACCTTTATGCTGACTTCCTTCGTATGACTTTGACCTTGATTTAACACTGTGAAGATACATGTATACTGTCGTTTTAGTACATGTTATCGTCTGCGACGATATGCAACTATCGTCACTGCACATAATGTCGTCCATCAATACATATTGTCGCCGGATGAAAAATAACGTATATATTGTCGCTGGCGACAATATGTGTCTACGTACCCTCAATTAAAATATTGTTGCCCTACAGTAAGGGTTGCTTAAGGATTTGTAGCTTTGTGAATGTTATCGGTGTGTTTGTCACATACTTGTGGAATCATTTTAATTCGTGCATGGGGGTCAATGTTCATGGTCAAGCAAAATTTTACTTGTTCGTGGGGACGTAATTTCGTGGATTACGTTACCGTTATTACGGTAAATTCAATGAATCAATATGTTTACAAAATAAACGTTCGTGGGGGTTGTAAATTCGTGGATAAGGGTGACCCACGAAATCCACGAACATTGTTCCCCCACGAACAATGATGATTCCACAGTAGGCATATTTTATGAAGCGCGATCTAGCGCAATAGTTTGCGTTCCTCGGTGTATATTGATATGCTTGATTTTACACAAAAATGGAACTCAAAATCGAAAATCAAGGCTTCAGTTTTCAAGAGATTGTTAAACTAAAAATCAATGTTTTTAATTTGTCGTTTTTAACTTTAAAGAAGCAACTGCAATAACGTGCCGTATTTTTAAAACAAGTTGCACTGTGAAGAGAAAAAATGTCGCAATAGACTGTTTCACGATAACTGCGGTACTGTTCTTTTGCAGGGCAAAATGATATACTTTGGTGAAATATGACGTGAAAACAATTGTTTAATATACATGTACGTCATTTATTTATCTTTCAATAAAAGCTTCGCTAAAACGTTATTAATTTGCCTTGCAAAAAAGTAGCACCACATCATCGTGAAAGGACTAATTAAGATAAAGTGGTTAATATAAATTCATAAAAGAATACCAAGGATGTCTCTGTCTTTCTCTGTAACCCCAGTACAACATTCTTCTAACAATACCTTTTGCGACAAAATACGCAAATGTTCGCAACATAGATCGTCGCCGACTACAATATTTGCCAACATGTAAGGTATATTTTGGTACTCATTCTGCAGGGAGAAAAAAGGTATTTTCGCCGTTATCATTTTGTACCGATGGCAACAATATGTAAAGTAAGGATAAATACATATTGTCGCCGGCGACAATATGTACAAGGCGACAAAACCTACTTTACACACCCTCTAAATATAACTTACCATCTGACTAGTACTTTGTATGAAACCTCTGTAATATTTCCTTCGAACGTTACGAACAAAGAAACATACAAAGAGATGAGAGTTTACAAACAAAAGTTTACCGACATAGAAAGCAGAAAAGCAACAGGGCCAAAACTTACTATGATGAGTTGCAATTTATATATCTTTTGAAAAAAAATCTTTGAGAGTTCATACATGATCAAATACTACTAATTTGACTTTAAGGTGTACCAGGACTTTGAAGCAAGGTCATATGAAAAAGGTCAAGGTCGCATGGATTGAAAATGAAATTCTTTAACGGCTTACAACGTAGTCATAAACTTGTGGGGGATTTGTTATGTCTCCAATTTTAAATCTCAATCAGTAGTTTGTTCTCAATAATACATGTATTTACGTGCAACTCACGTGCATCCAGGTGACTCTTCGACTGCCCATTCATTGGACACCAGTGTTATCCTCTCGTCAACTTTGGCCGTAATTTCCCAGCGACAATTTAGAAATGGCGCGTACTGAGTCCCGCTCTGCGATGGCACCCTGATAATTCCTGTCCTTTCCTCCTCAAAAATGCCTCCACAAAATTCATCTGAAAATTTAAGGTTCATTGAAACTCCGATAAGAGAGATAACTCTTACTTGGGTAAATGTCTATTATTTCTTTATAAATTTGTCAAGTTGAAATTTCTGTTTTGTCCAATTTTGACCTGTAAGTTAAACTTGTTTACATTTTACAAGTAAAAAAAAAAAAAAACGTTTCTTTTGGAAAATCATACGCGTTGAAACAACATTTTATATGAGGGAAGAGAGGAATTTTGAATCTTAAGCACACTGCTGCTTTCTGGGGGTGACGCTGGCTTTGTTCAACCTAGCCTCCAAAGGTTGTCCATTTTCAAGACCGCACTACAAACTCTAATTGATTTATTTCTACATTTCTAACGTTTCAATATGTAGAATGAAAACAGTTGGCGTGTTCTAATCTTTTTTACAATATTAAGGAAAATAACTTTTCATGAACAATTAATAGCGCCATATTGCAACTTATATTTTCATCGAAATAATCCTTTGTTCCCCCAACAATATTAATTATGTACTCTGGAACCTTAATTGAAAAAAACTAATGCAGATAAAGTGTCTCGGGTATAATATTTTAACATTCGTTAAAGTCACGTCATTATACACGTGTACTCTGCTTATGTGATATGATGGTTACATATGTACATTTGTCCTCGGTAGGAATAATTCTATACCAGAGTTTATTTTTATTTTTTATTTATTTATTTTTTTTATCTATTTCTTTCGTTTCTATTTTCTTCATTTGTCATTGAACAAAGCAGAATTACTTATCCATGTTACCATCTAACTTTAATATTACTCCTCACTGGCTGACGTTCATGAAGATGTGGACTTAAATATATCATTCGAAGGAATCATATAGAGAAATCAAATTTTATGTAGAGACTACTGGGTTAGCTAAAGCGGCTTTATATATCGTGGGTTTTTTCTTAGTTTTTTTGTTTGTTTCTTTGTTGTTTAACGTCCTTCTCGAGAATTTTTCACTCATATGGAGAAGCCACCACTTGCCGGTGGAGAGCTGCAAATTTTGACCTATACTCGGCATTTAGGGCGATTGAGCAGTGAGGGATCTTTTTCGTGCCAGCATCTACTGCTACACGGGACCTCGGTTTATACGGTCTCATCCGAAGGGCTGGTCTCCACGTCCCACAGTGGGATTCGAACCCGTGACGTAAGGATTAACTCCTTACTACGCGACTCTAGAGCAGATGCTCTACCCCTGCGCCACGTGGGCGACTTTTTTCTTCCTAGTAAAGGTAGCTTAAGAACACATGTATAGTACATGCATGTATAAAAACTGCCACGTGACATTTTTTTCAAATTCCATCGAAGTGTTGTGACTCAAAAGGACACTTCACATTACAGCCATCATACGCACTCAACTTTTTTTTCTTCCCCTAAGAAGACATTTAACTATAGTGTTGCTGCACCTCCAATTTACTACTAGTACTTATTTTTGACACTATATTGAAATTCGTCAGATATGCAAAGCTTTAATTCCTGTGAATTTCGAAAATTAATTCAATTCCATGCAATTGCAATGTCGAATAGATCTAAGTAAATTTCTGATATAAATCTATATATATATATATAACCAAACTATGACGCGGACCCTGTCATTTTTTTTAAACTACACAATTTCTAATATTAATCCATATAGATTCAAAGTCCTGTCATTTCCCACTTCCGTACCTTAGACCTTTAAATAGCGCTGTGCTCTTTACTAAGTCTTCTCTTTCCAAATTAAGTGTGTTTTGTAAGTGTTTACAGTACCTTTAACCGTCGTAGAATCACCCGTTTTTGAGGTAACAAGTATCAAAAGGGTCCATATATGTGAGAACATATTTCTGAACATAAAGTTGTTCCTATATGTAAAAGTGATAATAAGTCAGCCAGCGGAAACACTCAACAAGAGTACAGTGACTGAACTTTGACACAAATACTCACATTCTTTGAACGGGTGACAGGTCCGTACGGTATGAAGCTCATTTGGTTTGGGGGAAAGGGAAACAACTGAAAATCCTTAACAGACAGAAAAAAATCATTAGACATTTTAATGGGTCACAACTCTAAATAAGCATTAGTTTTCTATATAGTATATTCACAGGCACTTGTTTCGGTAATAATTTTTAACCCATAGTACAACAATAACACAAGGTATCCAACTCCGAATTACATGAAGTACCCCCTCCCCCAAAATCGCACTCATTTACACTTTCAGAGGAAACGCAATGACAAACTGTTTATACCTATGTCTTCTACGATAATTTATCTACACAACCATATATGGCATGCTTGTCTTTTATTTTCTTTTATCTCCGTAAACAGCGTCAAAACTCTGCTCGCCGAGTGGGAAAGTGGAATTCAACCATGAAATGGTATATGCTAATCCCGGGCAGAGAACAAAATTAAAAAATGAGTGGATTTAAAAATTCAATTCCAGCGTTTAAATATTGCAGTGAATAAATAGAATTTGTTTACGTCTGATTTTCCCTGAAAACATTATGATGTTTATTTTATCCGATGTAATTTTAGAAACATATTTTTAGCCAATCAAAATCTCTGCCCGGGATTACACATTGAATTCGACTTTTCCACTCGGCGAGCAGAGCTTTGACGCTGTTTACGGAGATAAAAGAAAATAAAGACAAGCATGCCATATATGGTTGTGTAGATAAATTATCGTAGAAGACATAGGTATAAACAGTACGTTTGCCAGTGCATTTCCTCTGAAAGTGTAAATGAGTGCGATTCTGGGGGAGGGGGGGGGGGGGTACTCCATGTAATTCGGAGTTGGATACCTTGTGTTATTATTATATTATGGGTTAAAAATATATTACCGAAACAATTGCCTGTGAGTATATTATATATAATTGTGCACTTGCAAAACTATCACCATTTCCCCTCCTCCTGTTCCAATGACCTGGGTCAAAATTAATCCATAATGCCTTCATTTAAACAAATAAAACTGACCTCAGTTATTTAAAATTAAGTACGGAAAAAAGAGTGCTTTCAAAACTTTTGTTCAGACGTGGATGTATTTCTTCTTCTTCTTCTCCTTTTTTTTTTTTTAAACTTTTCAATTACATAAAATGTAATTACAATAATTCCAAGGAAAATATTGCTTATTATGTGGACTACCACGGTTTTACACCCACCCTTATATTGTTTTAACCTGTCAAAATACAGATTGTTTTCGTTAAATAAAAAAATCCATTTTTCTTTTAATATAAGGTTCATCATGAGCCTTTCTATACTGTTACATACGGTACTATAGTAAATTTTCGCATTACAATTTAAAAAAAAGTTTAATTTTTGATAATTCTGATTTCATAAAGACATGAACTACACCGTTTCACTCCGGCATATTTTTCGTTAAGCGCGTTAACTGTGCAGCCGCGAAGCGTAGTATCTCACATGCCTCGTGAATTTTCAAAAATTTAAATTCATATCTTATATTTACATCATTTATCTGATGACTTGCCACATATCATGTCATTCAACTGTTAACATCATTTTTTTTTTAAACCAAAACGGTTTGCTCCATATTTTTGACACCACGATGGAGATATTAAGGACATACGCAACGTAGTTTGAACTTTATTGTCTTTTTCCCTTGAGTTGAAGAGTTCCAATACTTGAAGGAGTTGTGTGCTACATTTTAATGTCTATATATGCTGTTGTACACTTCTTCTAAAGCAAGTTTGGATAAAGAAAACATCTAGAATATATGTTTAGTATTTTTTGTATAATTTTCTTTGAATTATACAAAAACTTTCATCAATTGATATCTTTTCAAAACCCCTGGTAATACATGCTGAGTTTTTGTCTATGAACATCTGATGGCACTAAAATCTTAAATGAAGAATATCTTGAAAAATTATCAGTAGGTAAGGTACGTTGCGTATGTCCTTAACAGTGATTAATGCCCATCCTTACGAGTTCATGAGAAATTAAATGAACCCGATTCCACTTTCTTCTTTTTAAAGAATATTACCGAAAAATAATTGGAAATGTAAATATTCTGTGCCTCATTAAGATTTGGAATTGAAATAAAAGTAGAAAAGAAACTTAAAGGAAAAGTGGAAAATGAAATCTGTAACAAAATAGCCTGTGTTTATGGGGCTGAGATATGCAGCTATAGTCCAATAATCAAGAACAGAATTAAAAAAATATTTTAAATAATTATTCTAGCAACAAATTATTTCTATCAAATAAATGTTTGATAGGGTCGGGTTCAATTCTAAAATTGGCGGGAAATAATTGACGTCAAAGTATCTACGGAGATTACGACCAAGTGATTTCAACCAATGAAATATCTGTTTACAAACGTGTTTATGGGACTAGAGGAGGATACACCGTATATTTCGTTCCAGTGTAAGTGTTATCACCTGTAAAATTGGGGATAATTGCAATATTTTATGGTATGTTACAAAGGACTGTGCCCTTAAATTCTTCATTGGCTATAAGTGTTGCATCTATCCTGCCATGTTGTGCATGAATGAAAATTCTGAGCCGGGAATTCGTTCAAAATGGCGATGGCTGACACTCCGCTTATGGGATTTGTAAATGATATGCGTAGAGCATTTGCTAGAGTGGGCTTTTGCGTTTTTAAATTTCGTGTAATTTAAGAACAAAGAGAATAAATGAATATTTGATTAGAAATTAGCTAATTAGGTCGATGTCGGGTGGACACGGGTAATAATAGCTCTAGTTGTTACCGGTTTGTCGCTCCTATCCGCAGATTTATGACTATCCGGACGTCAAATATTGTAAACAATATACCGACAACCTATTTATTCTTTGTTGTCTTAAGATTTAAGGGTGTGACATATTATTTATACATTTTATTTGTAACGACAGTTGACCAAAAGACGGAGATCGAATATTCTCGGTATCGGAAAAAATCTAATGTTTTATGTTGCTGATGCATCAGGTGTTTGGATAGGTATTTGATGAACAGTGGCTTATTTCACTTAGTTTAGTTAAAGAGATTTTATATTTCATTGCATGATTGAAATGAATGCAAAAAATATTAACATATGCATGCTGTTGTGTTTCGAGTACAGTTTATTTATATCAATGTATTTATAAATATATATATATATACATGTCATGAGTACCAAATTTAACAGAAAGAAAAAAAATGAAAGAATAGATTTTCAGAACAAAAAAGATGAGACAACAACTAGGAATAATTTATTTTTAAAAAAATATGTATATATATAATTAGGAATTTGAACTTCCATGAGTTCATAACCTGAACATTCCAATATGTCATATATCTGCTCTTGCACACACAAAGTATAAACTTATCTTTTAAATCTTAATATGCAGGAGCTATTGTAATCTTGCATTATGTAACAGTGCAATTGATTGCAAAGAAACACCTCATTTAACATGCCAAGTTTTTTTTTATGCCTAATTTGTCATGTACATTATTTATGTGCCAGCCAAGAGGTGATCTTTCTTACACTTTTTTTTTCGTATGTAATGAAGTCTTTAGCTGTCTGTTTCATTGCTGTAGGGAATAAGGAAAACACTGATTGGTCTAGTTAATGTGGTTAGAAAGAGAGACTGAGCTTGTCTGATGTCACAGAGAAGTCATTGAGGTCTTCATTAATCAGTTAATAAAATATTGGTCATGTGGGTGAAGAAAGTACAAGTCTATTTATTCATTGGTCATTGGGTCTGTTATATTTAGCATATATGTGAATGGACAGGAACAGTCCTGAAAGAAGGTATTAATTGCATAAGAAAAGACAGCATATGGTAAGAATTAGTATTTTATAGATGAGAAGATATTGAAGTTAATTGATAGATTATGTGGGCAGACAGTATCAGCATGATTAGCAACCATCAATCTTCAATATTATTTTAGATGATACTTATAGTCCATGTGTATGCTCTTCAATGACCTTTTTGACTAAACATATTAAGTTTGGCTCTATTGGTGTCTGTTTTTTCTTCTTTTATTTGATAAAAATAAATCTACATATTTAGTAATATGGTCTTCTAGAACTCTTAGCTTTGTTGATATATATTATAATGACAGATCAAGATTCAGTTTGTTTGAGGTCTGAGTTTACATTAGTAATGCATATTTTTTGTAAATTGGACAGACAAAAATTTTCTTTATATGAAGTGTTAATCTGTACAGCTATGTGGTATACATTTGGGAGTATTCTATAATTATACACATTCTGCATTTGCAATTATGCATGTACCTGATGTACGTACGCATTTATACAGGAACTATCTTGCTGACCTGGATAAAATTTTGATGTACATGTAATTTGCTACTTTATAAACTATACTAGCAAGTACTTGCATGTAAATGCTATTGTACATGTTTTAAACTTTGTATGTGATGAATACAGATGAAAGTGGAATAAAGATTAATGATCTTTAATCTATTCATATTTTCAGGTTTTAAAGTTTCCTTGGACCCCTTTGTAGCAAGGTATGTAAATAGTATGAGTTTCAATTATGCAGTAGCCAATTGCATATATGTATTCAGCATATTAGTAAACATTTTTACATGGAATTTCTATTTAATATGATTTCATCATTTTTTTTTTATTTGATCTATTGATTTTGGGACAGGAAATCTGATGATTTTATATTCAAATTTTTAACAAAATCCACTAATTTGAAAGTTTGCACATGCATTAATTTGAGCCCCATTACTGTAATATCGTCCAATCAAACAATTTAGTTTACACATGTTGAGTCATATGATCTTGCTCGATATTAATAGCACACCATTCATTCAAAAATAGCAATCAATAAAGTATGTAAGTAGTGGAGTATTTAAATTCAGTGAACCGTGTGCCTCCCTCACCAGACCTTGGACT